ATAAGTGTGACGTGTGAACGGTCGTCAAAACTGAGCTTGGCCTGGTTACCGATCCAAGCTCGGACCGGTCTCGGCCTGGATCGGTTTTTCAAGGGTAGTGTAAATGGGGCTATATAGGTACTTCTGGGGACCAGCAATCGGTCCCCATGAGGTAAAGTTCTTTTCTTGGGGTGGGGGTTGGGTTTAGGACAAAGACATGAAGTGCATTTAGGTCAGATTTAGGGTTCGGCATGTGTTGGTGACGGTTAGGCTTAGGGTAAATGTCAGGGTTAGTTACAAAAGAGTGGAAAATAAATGAAAATCTTCTCAAAAACCCAAAGTTTGTGCTACGATTCTACTGTCCTTTTTGGTTAATCATTTCAGCTTTAATTTGCATTCTGTTTGCTTTAGTTCACAATGTTGTATTCACTTTTTTTTTTAGATTGAGGGACTGCAGGCTGACAGAGATGAGCTGTATTTCTCTGGTCTCAGCTTTTAAGTCCAACCCCTCCCAGCTGATTGAGCTGGACCTGAGCTTCAATGACCTAAAAGATACTGGAGTAAAGGAGCTCTGTGGTATTCTACAGACTCCTCTCTGCAAACTAAAGATATTGAGGTAAGACTCCCATCTTTTACCTTAGTGCTGATACCTCCAGTAGTACCATACTCCAGAGGCAGGGAGCTGCCATTTTTACAGTTGGTGGCAGAAGCCCACAAACCTGAAAGTTTGTCTGGAAATTACAGAATGTCTGTCCAAACTGCAAGAACTCAGTCTAAAGTAAAGTATTAACCAGGGTTAGGTTTACAGGGAGGGGATAATTTGAGGGCATTATATCAGGTTATGGTATTAAGGTTCAGGTTTCCTTACCTGAAATCTCCAGTGTGATTTTTTGTAAATGTGTTTCAGAGATGAGTTTACACACTGAAAGTGCAATTGCCTTTTCTCAGTCTGTTCAGCCATCATTAATTCTATTCAGAGCATGTCCAGTCATTGTCTGTATTTACAGGACTGCAATCCTGGTTGCGCCTCTGTACAGCAGTGTCACTTTTGTCAGTGTGAACCAAGTTTCAAGTACAGTCCATTTACCATTCATAACAATTTCTTTTAATAATCCCTTTAATTGCAATTCATGTCTGGCTGAAACCCAGGTCTTCTTGTTTTGCTAATGCTATGACTAGTCCTAACAATTGAGACCTCTCGGACGGGAAGGCCCTAAATATTGGGGAGATGATCCTGCCATGTAGGGTATAAGTAATTGAGACTGCCCCGGAAAACACCAGGGTCCATTTCACAAAGTGGGTAAAACAAGCTCAAATTTAAATCCTCAACTGTGAGTTGATCTAGCCTAAGGTTTCAAACTCTAAGCTTTGGTTTTCACAAAAGCTGCTGTGAGTTGGGTTAATCAACTCTGAGTTCAGACTTGAGCACGTTCGTAGAAATTATGAAAAGCCTGTGAGATGAGATATTAGACTGTGCCTTTCCTCAGCCAATTAGAAGTTACCTTGAACCTGTCTATGCTGGAAGCTATGTGGGGAACTGGGAGTGAGATGACGGAGACCGCCTCCTAACTCTGGACAAGGGTGAAATATAGATACATGCCCTTTCAGATGTTTACTGTATGACTCCCTAATGCCATGAATGGAAGAGATGGTTGCTTTGAAATTTTTTTTATCTGACTAGTGAAAATCTATGTCTTTAATGAACTCAAAGTTGTTTCTCTTGGGAAGACCAAATGTTCGTGTGGGAGAATTGTCTTTATATGCAAAGATGGGAAACCACACCACAATAACAGTTCAACTGTTTGAGTTGTTCTCCTCTGCAGACTAAAATAAAACATTTTCTTCCTTTCTTATTGCCTCTCAGCGCCCATTTTATTTCACAACTCCTTATTAGGGGAGCTCAGATTCAACAAGTCACTATGACAACAGGCAACAGGATGTGCCTAATTCACACTACTGGAACAAGATATTTTATTGCAGAAATGAAATAAATCCATGGATAATGTGTGTAAAAGGCAGAGAAACAACACTACAGCTTTAAAGAAGAGACAGATGGTGAAGGAGAAGATTGCTACTCAAGTTAAGGAATAAGTTTATATGCAGTCTGGTGTGGCAGGCCATTTTTACATTTATTAAAATGCAAAAATGCTGTTCCATTTGTAGATCCCTAAAATAGGATTCTTCCTGGTCAAAATCACATTCCTAACCGGAACTGCAGTAATATATTTTCTAAATTGCATCAATTGTGCCTCCTACCTACCAGTAGGCTCAGTAGGTGGTTATCACCAAATGAATCCTAATCCTAACCCTGAAGTATGAAAGTATGTGAAGTATGAAGAAATCTCATATCCTGTCAGCTGAGTTTTTTTGAATCACGACATAAAATGTATGTGACTGAAACGTAGAATTCCATAAATCAGTAAAGCTTCAAAAAGCAGTTGTCTGTTGTTGTTTTTTTTAAATAGGTAAGTTATAGACAAAAATTTATAAAAAGTTATAAAGTAGCTAAATGGTTTATGGTTTTAGACATGGCCAATGTGGCTGTTATAAATGATAAACTCTATATTATCAGCCTTAGAAAATATATTAGAAGGTAGAGGATATACAGTCTGGAACCATTACATTGGGCTGGGGCTGTTTGACTGCTGGGCTTTTTTCTCTCTCTATAATGCTCTTATCACATTCATCGATGTATTACCAGTGCTATCAGGTTCTGCTAAGTATGTAATATAAGTGTGTGTAATGCTATAAATGTGAGGATGGATGAGGTCTGGATGCCTTTGATGGATTGTGAGGTTAACAGGACGGCTCATATAGATAAATATCTGAATATGAAGGCATGCATTCTCCTTATAAATATTAATTTCTCTGTCAAATAATGCCAATCATTCGTTAATAAGATCCTCATAAAAAAATACATGCAACATTTATTTTGACACCTAATGTGTCTAACGGACATAGTGAATGATTATTTTATTGTTTGCACAAAACTACAACAAAAATGTACTGACTACATCAGGAAATAAAAAAAATGTGATTGCTCTAAGGAGAGCAGAGACAGAGGACACCCTGAGTTTGCTGCACAAAACCTGCTCCAAACCAGGTTAGCTCTGGGGAGAGTGTTACTATGGCAACAGACACAGGTTGAGTAGTGATGGGTTAATGAGGCATCTTGAAGAATTTTGACACATGACCAAACTGTATTGATCCTGCTTTGAAACTGTCTCACAGAATACTGACACCTGTTGGACATTTAAAGACACTACAGGCAGCTGATTTTACAGACTAAACTGAATTGATTTGATGACCTTGTACAATGATATGGCTTAAAATATTGTAGATTATATTGTATTATTTAATATCTATTTTTAAATTAAAATCATTTTTGATAGCTTAGATGCAGTCAAAAAATAATGTAAACATGGAAAATACCCAAGTGCAGAGATTCTTCTCATGTATGCTTTATTTTTCCTAAAAAAAAAAAAAAGTTAATTCACAAAAAACTAAGCAGATCCACAGAAGAAACCCTGGGGCATTTCTAAAGAAAAAAGTTCAAAGGATCTGAAAATAAAACAAAAAGGTTGGTAAAACAAAACATTCTCCTAAACATAAGTAGTCTAAAAGCATGAAGCATTTAAGTCCCAGAATGCAAAGTTAAACACAAAAAAGAATTCAGAGTAGCTCACTAGAGGCATGGACGCTAGACAAAGACTCATCGCCTAGCAAAGAAAAAACAGGGCTTAAATACACTGACTAATGCACAACTGATAACATTTGGCAGAGGAGAGAAACACAAACTCCCAACCAAATGACAAAAAGCAGGATATGCAGTCCAACAGTGGGCCCTAGTGGCCAGAATAATCATAGCACCTAACAAGACTGGTCTGAATGGGAATTGGGGAAATCACACATGATGGGTTGTCCTGGGCTGATTTCCTAGCCTCTAATATTCCCAGAGGAAAACCAACATTTTATATCCACATCTGAGTTGTTATTGACCCAATTTGTTAAAGACTCAATTTCAACTATAATTTACAGATGAATTCCTTAAAAAAAACAATTCTCATTTTGCCTCACACTTTTGAAAATTACAATGACTGCTCTTGCAAAATTAATGGTGGACAAACAATTTTTTCCACTACACCATCTGTCTAATTGCTGGTAATATAACAACCTACTTAAAGGAGAAGTTCGGTTTTTTACAATTTAAGCCCATTTTCTGTAGTGTCCAGGATGAAATCGAATGATCGACACCAAAAGTTTGACAATTG